AGGCAGATTTCTTTGTGAACATTCTGAAAATGAGCCAGTCCCACCTTCCAACTTGAGGTTCTTCCAATCCTGTCCCTTCTCTTTTTTCTTTTTTCGAGACAAAGTCTTGCTGTGCCGCCCAGGCTGGGGTGCAGAGTGGTGATCTTGGCTCAACTGCAGCCTCCGCCTCCCAGGTTCAAGTGATTCTCATGCCTCAGCCTCCTGAGTAGCTGGGATTACGGGTGCACACCGCCACACCTGGCTAATTTTTGTATTTTTAGTAGAGACAGGGTTTTACCGTGTAGCCCAGGCTAGCCAAACTCCTGACCTCAGGTGATCCGCCCGCCTTGGCCTCCCAATGTGCTGGGATTACAGGCATGAGCCACTGCGCCTGGTCCCTTGTCTTTTTTTTGGACCATGCCTCTGTCTCTTACCATGCTCTTGTGCTTTCAGGAGCGCCTGCCAACGGTACCCCTGTCTGGCATGTACAATAAGTCTGGAGGAAAAGTGAGACTCACCTTTAAGCTAGAACAAGACCAACTGTGGATTGGCACTAAAGGTATGTTCTTCCTTGCCTGCTTGCTGGCCTGCTGCCTGCCTCTGGCACCCAGCAGCACTCACGTTGTGGAGTGCGATTCCGCCCCTCCTTCTGAAACCTCTCTACACTGTGCTTTGCGTGCTTCTGGCTTCTTTTTTTTTCTTTATAAATAGAGATGGGGTTTCTCCATGTTGGTCAGGCTGGTCTCGAACTCCCAACCTCTGGTGATCTGCCCGCCTCGGCCTCCCAGAGTGCTGGGATGACAGGCGTGAGCCACCACGCCCGGCCGCTTCTGGCTTTTAAATTCGCTTTTAGACGCTCGCCTTTTGTTCGGACCCTTTTTCCTCATTGTTTTTAGTCTGATCTCAGGGCTGATCCACCAAACATTGGCTCTTCAGTTGCACACAAATTCAGAGGCCCCAAACATGGCCCAAGGACCAAATCTGGTCCACAGACAAGGCTTTTGTGGGATGACACACAATCCATAAAAATCGGAGGATTTCACTTAATCTGTTTTTTGTTTTGTTTTGTTTTTGTTTTTGTTTTTGTTTTGGCTTCTCTTGAAAAATCAAATGATCTGGCCCTTTGGGGCCTGCATTCTCACATGGCATTGACCCACTAGAGCTGAGTGGTAGTTTCCAGTGGGCCATGCTACAGTCCTCATAGTCCCGTTTATCTTAGAAGTAGCCAGCTTTGTTCATTCGTCACCTGCCTGGCCCCTGTAGGTCAGAGTTTGACCCTATAGAGGGTGAAGTTTTCCTAACCACTGCCTAGGAACCTGTCTCTCCCACCCCTCCTGGTTGCCCTCTGCCTGCCCCACCCTAGCCTGTGCACGGTCTCTGGATCAGCCTTACTGTTTGCTGGAAAGTGTCTCTGACTGTCCTCCCTCTTCCCTCCACCAGATGCTTACAAAGTGTTTTCAGTTACACTGCAGAACTGTCTGTCCCTTTCTTTGCTACACTGTTGCGCCAGTTTAGGTTCCCAAGCATCTTTAAACCTGGTCTGTTCAAAGCAAGTTACCCTATTGCACTGCCCCATCTGTGTTTTCTTCTGTCCTGTCCATGTTGCCTATTGCTTTTTGTCATGGGTACCCGTGCTCAAGAACCGTTGGCTCTTTAAGGACACGTTCCAATGCCTAACCTTAGCGTTCAGTGTTCTCAACACCGGGCCTTAGTTTAAATTTTGGTTCCAACTTCCGGCCCGTTTGCCCTGTGTATTTCAGCCGCATCTCTCTATGAAACTCCCAGTGTGCTTTGCACAGCTCCTTGTCTTTGCTCATGCTGTGCCCTTACCTGGAATGCCTTCTTCCCATTCCTTGTTTTTAATAAAGTCATCCAAGGCCCTACTTAAATGTCCTCTCCGAATGAAGTCTTCCTTGGTTCTCCCCCCACCCTCCAAATGACTTGCTGCAGCTTCTGTTCATAGAGCGCTTCATTTATATGCCCAGAGCACTCATTACTCTCTGACTTGTCTGTCCCCCTGTTAGATTCCTGGAGGGAACCGAACATGCCTAAATCACCTGTTTCTGGCCAGCACTGTAGGTATTCAGTGTTCGAGGTAAATGCTAAAGAGAAGTATAGGGGGTCCCATCATCTGAGGTTCATTGGTCTCAGGGACAGGCCATTTAGTGAGACTCCACTTAAAATGGGACCAAGTTTTATGGAGAATAATTGGGGCGGGGTGGTGGGGAGAGAGATTTTTTTAAACATCTAAGATGCAAAAATCAATACTCAACCCTATACTGATTCTTAAAGTGAACAAAAATTGAAATGCCAAAAACGCTTGAGTTTTCTATCAATTTTATGATAACTTGCTGTTTTCTTCATTTCACATTCAACTCTAACTGCATGGGCAAAGCAAGTTTTGCAGTATATCTGAGCGTTCCCCCCAGTTTTTGCAAGGGCCTTTGAACCCTCTGCTGGACGATTCTTTTCTGCAGATCCTGTCCCATCTCCCACCTTGTCGGTATTTAGCTACCCAGCCTCTGTTGACTTTGCAGGTGATTTTGCTTAGTTCTGTCTCATCGCATTCACTTGCTGAAGTGCATAGACTTACTGCCTCTTGCTGGACTTCTACTTTTGCTTGTGGACAGCCTTATTTGAAGGCAGTTGCTAAGGCTGATCTGGAAAGACCCTGCCATGAGGATAGGTACAGGCAGAGAGTTCTGGATGGGAACTAAGTCTGGAAGTGCTCATTGGTTCCTCGGGGATATATTTTTGTGTCAGGAAGTTGTATAGGGAACACATCATAACTGCAAGAACTGATAGAACAAGAACCTACTGACCCTGTATTGGAGGTTTTCTTTTTACTAGTAGGAGCAGCTGCCTTCCTGCTTTGGACTGAAGGCAGAGCTCTAGAAGAAGCTCAGTATGTTGGGGCTTCTGAGCCCTTGAAAGCCTCATTACTCACCAGCCTTGTCGAGGAGCATGGCACTGAACTATTCATGTCTTCTAGGGTTGACCAAGGCTGAGATTTTCATTCCCACCCAGAGGACTGTACCTCTGGAGCCCAAGGGGCAGGCACTCTTCCCAGTTGCCCAGGAGTCCTGTCATCTGAGTGTCATAAGCACTCATAGGAGGACAGCTTGTTCTGGGAGTTGGCTACTATAGCCACTGGCTTCATCTTTCTGCTGGCAAGGAGAAGCGGCTATGGAATGACCGTCCCAGCAGCGAGTTGGCCTCTCCATGAGGCACTTTGCTGAGTAAGTGACCCTTAAGGGCTGTTACTCTTGACTAAACTCTCCTAGCTTGTGTAGGAGTAGGCAGTACTAACAGCTTCAAAAGAATGAGAACAAGCTCCAGGCAGGAAATGTGAAGCTGCTAGGGGAGAGCATGTGCCCTGCTCGTAGGAAAGTTGAATCTGGCTGGTGGTCTGATGTCGTGATCAGGAGTGTGGGTCCAGAAATGCCCAATTTTCAGACTTTTCAAGAGAAGCCAGAAAACTGTTAGATATTTTTGTGTGAAATCTCCAGACGTTTCAGGATGAAAGGTGTTTTACAAGTTTCCATCTTAAAGACAACTGCTGCCCAGGTCCTGCTTTGTGGACCGCTGTTGTAGAGCCACTAAAAGTCCAAACCTAAATGAACAGCTTCAGGCCCCTCTTCCCCAGCCCCCATTTTTGAGAGACTGAGGCCCACAGAACTGAAGTAAAATGTCTTAAGTCCCCAGCTAGACCAGAACCCTGGTCTCTGAATTCCCAGTCTGTTTGGCCAGTTTATCTATTTTAGATTCTACCTTTCCAGATTTTTCCTCCTGCAAAGGCTGCAAGTTTTTTTTCTACTTGGTTTAGCTGTTTGCTGAGCCTCCGCGCCCCATCCCCGAGGTGTCTGCCACTCCAGGGTGGTCATGTCCTGTTGTGCAGGTGCACCACACGCCTGACCTCACCCCGTCCCGCTTCACTTGGCTCACTCGCAGCAGTCTCATCTCCAGGCATCCCTTGCTGCCCCCTCTCTCTTACCTGCCATCCTCCTTAAACTTGCCTCAATGTCTTCTGACCCCATGTGATAAGTGGTATCTCAAGTGTTAATACAAGAGGTTATAAATGTTTTATGAAGTTCTCCTAAAAGTGTGAATATGGAGGTGGGAGGACCCGGGGAGGGAGGTTGGGGAAGGGAGCAGGGTCATGATATAGAATCTAGCCCTAAAGCCCAGGCACTCCCCTTCCCTTGTGAGAGCCACAGAGGAACATGTTGCCTCTCCCTCTTAGGCCCCTTGACTTTCCCTACTGCCCAACACCTTAGCCAGTGCTGGGCTTGCATAAGGTTACAAAAGAATTTCTTGGATATTTATTTTATTTTACTTTTTATTTTTTGAGGCAGAGTTTTGCTTTTTCGCCCAGGCTGGAGTGAAGTGGTATGATCTCGGCTCACTGCAACCTCAGCACCCTGGGTTCAAGCAATTCTTCTGCTTCAGTGTCCCGAGTGGCTGGGATTACAGGCGCCCGCCACCACGCTTGGCTACTTTTTTGTATTTTTAGTAGAGACAGGGTTTCACCACGTTGGCCAGGCTGGTCTAGAACTCCTGATCTCAGGTGTCCACCCACCTTGGCCTCCCAAAGTGCTAGGATTATAGGTGTGGGCCACCATGCCTGTCTGTCTTGGATATTTATTAACCATCAAACTTTAAAAAATAATCCTGGGGAAAACATATCTCTGCCCTCAGAGACCTTTACCATTGCCAAACCCTGTTTCCCACTTGCTCCTACGGAGTTCCCAGCTCACACACAGGGCCCTAGTTACACTGGGAGAAGACCCTGTCTTGTTGTCCCCAGAGGGCATGGGACCAGTCAGTCCCACAGCCACCAGCCCTGACGAGGGACTGCTGAGTCAGGAGAGTTAGAACAGGAGGGCCTTTGAATAATCACTGTAATCCCTCTCAACTTAGAGCGGACTGAGAAATTGCCCATGGGCTCCATAAAAAATGTGGTCAGTGAACCTATCGAAGGACATGAAGACTACCACATGATGGTAAGTAGCACTGGCTGAGTCCAGCCCCTCGCTAGACTCCTGCTTCATCTGGCAGGAAACAGTTTCAATTGAGCTTGTTTCATGGAAGAAAACGTAGTCTCGCCGGGCGCGGTGGCTCACGCCTGTAATCCCAGCACTTTGGGAGGTCGAGGCGGGTGGATCACAAGGTCAAGAGATCGAGACCATCCTGGTCAACATGGTGAAACCCCGTCTCTACTAAAAATACAAAAAAAAAAAAATTAGCTGGGCGTGGTGGCGCGCGCCTGTAATCCCAGCTACTCAGGAGGCTGAGGCAGGAGAATTACCTGAACCCAGGAAGCGGAGGTTGCGGTGAACCAAGATCGCGCCATTGCACTCCAGCCTGGGTAACAAGAGCAAAACTCCGTCTCAAAAAAAAAAAAAAGAAAACGTAGTCTCCAGAAGATGCACTGTTTTAAGACCCTCATGTTGTCTTCATCTACTTAGACCTTAATCCATGGTCTCTGTTCCTAGTTCTGTTTCTTTTGCACACACACCCCCCCACACACACATACCTTCCATCAGTTTAAAGAGGATGTGTCTTCTCCTACCTCTTAGAAAAGTCTCTTTTGCCTCCCTCTTGCAATGTGTTGCTTTTAGACCAGGAAAATAAAAAGAGGAGGAATGGTTTGTGGAATTTCATTAAAAGTTTTGTCTTGCATGTAAAACAAAACCTGCCCCTAGCCTTGGTGTTGGTGAGGGCTCCAGACATCCTGTTTTCTGTAATAATGATGCCGCTCTTCCCAGGCACAGTGGTTGAGGGCCTGGTGGGGAGGACAGGCTCTCTGGAGCATCTGTTCTGCAGAGGCTGCTCTGTGGAGAGACAGAATGTTTGGAGGCCATCTGCAAGTATGCAGAACGAAGCAAAAAATTTATTCATCTGATAAAATGAGCAGCTTAGGCAAAGTTTCCAGAATTTTCCCAGCACTCTTTGCAGAGGCCACATTGGCAACAAAGTTGATTCTGCAGTTGCCATTTGGACCTGGCCTGAGCAGCTGTGGTGTGAGGGCGGGGCCTCCTGCCTTTGTTCATTCCAGGGGGCAGGCCTTTCAGTGTGCATTCCATAGGGATGAAGCCACATCGGCCCCATCCCAGGGAGAAGGAGGAGCTAGTGGTTTGACCTGTGGGTTACCAAGTTAGATGTGTTAGAAGATTTTCTTGCTATAGAAAAAAATGACAGGGGCTTAAAGTATGGTGGGGAAGGGAGGCAGCCCTGTCCCTGTCCTGCCCAGTGCTGCTAGCAAGGCCGTAGCTGGGAGTGTAGGTCCTAGGCTGCAGGGCTTCTGGGGTTTTGGCTTCTGGAAGTGATGATGACATCACTGGGACTTCTCTCAGGCCCCCTGGCAGCCCTTCCACCCCTACTGTCTCTGCAGTCTTTATTACAAGGATTGCAGACAGATTGGTTTGACCTGGTCAGTTATTATTTTCTGTTTTAACAGTTGGACTTGAATGTTTTTAACTGAGTCCCACCACTCCTTTTTGAGTAATTTGTGTTGCCAGTCGCACCCTGTGGGGTTTGAAAGCAGCCTGGAGGTACGGAGTCCAAGGAAGTTGAGTAGACTGTTTTGGACATTGGTGTGGATGGGTAATGACTTAGTATTTCACTGAAATGTTCATTTCTCTCGAGTCTTTTCTGGCAGAGGATAGTTCTAATTAGCCCCCTTCTCTTATCCAAACACCTTTACCTTTGTCCTAATGAAAGTACTGACTTTCCTCTTTGTCCAGATGCCATTTCTCTAGCTCCATTAATGTGTCGTCATTCACAGTTGGAAAACTGTGGCTGTGCTTTTTCATTTTTAGAGAAATGTTTTTACGATACAGAAAAGAGGCTGAGCGCAGTGGCTCACGCCTGTAATCCTAGCACTTTGGGAGGACGAGGGGATGAATCACGCGAGGTCAGGAGTTCGAGACCAGCCTGGCCAACATGGTGAAACCTCGTCTCTACTAAAAATACAATAATTAGCTGGCCAAGGTGGCACATGCCTGTAGTCCCAGCTACTTGGGAAGCTAAGGCAGGAGAATCGCTTGAATGCAGGAGGCAGAGGTTGCAGTGAGCTGAGATTGCACTGCTGCACTCCATCCTGGACAATAGAGCGAGACTCCAGTCAGAAAAAATAAACTACAGAAAAGGACAGAGAATAATAACTGTCACAAACTCATATATCCATCACTGAGAAGTGGTAATTATCAATATTTTATAGCTTGATTTAAATTTTTTTTTAAATAAAAGAAATAGTTTCTTCATAGCAATGATGGCCCCACTGTCTTCCCCTTCCCCCATTACCATTGTCATGTGTCACGTGCTTCCTTCCCATCTATTCATTCTTTTATTTACACGGACATTCTTTTATTTATCCATGACAAGATGGGAGTATTGTTTCGTGCTTCCAGTTTTCGTAAATGGTATCATGGTATATGTATTGTTCCACAACTTTCTTATCTTTGGTTCAACATAAGAATCTGTCATTTTCCTCTTTAAATTGCTCTAATTGTTGAAAGAAAAAAAAAAATCTGTCAGAGATCCATATGGACCCAGTTGATACCTCTTTAAAAAGAACCCCAGTATTGGTGTGACTCTAGGCCTTGTCGCTTTGAATTATGCATTTCTTTACTGATAGATATGTATGTTGTTCCCAGGTTTTTGTGGTTTCAGACAGTGCTGCAGTGAACACCTGTTTTCTTGAGCATGTGTGACAGGTTTTCTAGGGCAGTGGTTTTCAAACGTGGTCCCTGGATCGGTAGTGTTGCATCACCTAGGAGCTTGCTGGTTTCTCAGGCCCCACCCGAGACCTCCCTAAATTAGAAACTTCTAGCAGGGGTGGAGGTGCTGATCTATGTTCCAACAAGCCGTCTGGATGGCTCTGATGCTCACTCAGGTTTGAGAACCGCTGCTTTAGGGTTGGCTCTGCGTAACCCTCACCCTGCCTGGTTTTGTTTTTTGTTAGGAGAATGCTCCCTATGTGCAAAGTTTTGGTTTTTCTTCCCTTTTTAATTAACTCATATCCCAACCCTCCCCCATTTTTGTTCTGCCTGCTTGGTCTCCCAACCTCTGAAGTACCGCTTGGTTTTCCTTTTTCCTTTCCAGGCGTTTCAGTTGGGCCCCACAGAAGCCTCTTACTACTGGGTGTACTGGGTTCCAACTCAATATGTGGATGCAATCAAAGACACTGTGCTGGGGAAATGGCAGTATTTTTGAAAGCACTTTCACCTCTGGCCCAGGAGACTGACCCAAAGTGAAGGACATTGCCGGGAGAGGCCTGCAGCATCCCTGGATTTCAGAGTTCTGGAACTTTGTTCACAAAAAATCTATATTCAATCTAAGGTGATGTGGTGACTGAAGCCAGAGGTGATGTACTTTCACCATTAGCTTAATTTTAACTTAAAATTACCAGTTCCCTTTCTTGCAGTCAGCTTCATACCATTTTTAAAGTCCATACGATGGAAATCAATAAATCTGAATTCCGAACATGTTGTGTGGAATACTCTTAAGTGTGTTTGAGAGTAGATCTGCCAATTATGTTGACAAGGGAATGATCAAAAGCTTTTTTTTTTTTTTTCTTTTTTTCTTTTTAGCAGTTTCAATTGAAATATTTTCGTACATCTTTGGTTGCAAACATTTGGACTGCCTTGTGATTAGTTGGGGTTTTTTTTCCCTTTTTTGTATAAAATTGTATGCAAAATGCGGGGGGGTTAGTAAGCCATATATTTCTGTCCATTGATTCAGATTTAATTCTTTCCCTTTTTAATTCTCTTGCTTCCTCAATTTGAGTTTTTGTTTTAAGAACCCAAAGATATCAGTTCCTCTTTTAGTACCTCATCAACGCTTCCTCTCCTGGGCTCCCTCCTGCCGTGCTGCTGCTGCCTGTGAACGCACGGTGGGAGAGGAAGAGCTGCTCGGTCTTGGGCAGGGAGCTCTCACACTTGCTGTGGTGTTCGTTGAGCAGCAGAGTATCTCCCAGTGACTCCTGTCTAAACGTCTTGCCCTTTGGGCCTCAATCTCCGAGGAGTTCCATTGCTGGTTGGATGATTGTCTGCACCCCTCACTGAGCTTGGCCTAGAGGCCCAGCCTGGCATGGTTGTGCCTGGGCTGTGCCCCTCAAAAACCCCAGCTTCCAGGCAGACAGAGGCCTCTTCTAGGAGGAGCCAGGTAGGAGATAGACTATACAGCCATACAGCTGCAGATCCAGATAACCTTCTTTATTTGGAAGTTTTCAAGAAATTCTTAAGCAGTCCAAGGATGATTTCAATTACGCTTCTCCATTGGGTCCTTCTGCTCATCCATTCAGTTCAAGTGTCCTTTATCCCAGGTTCAGAGACGCTGCCTTTCACGAGAAGAAGACATCTGACCCCAGCAGGTTGGCCGTTGTTATTGAACAACGAATGGGATAAATTGCTTTCATGATTAGCTCACCCTCTTCTGGTTTTAGCCCTTCTGTTCTTTGTACATGTGAACTTCTGTCATCTCCTTCTGGCTTGGTTGCCTCTGACAGGAGGGAAAGTCTCTTGGTAAATGATCTCCTTTGTGCTGTTTGCTGTTTCTCTGCTGCCGTCTTTGCAGTTCTCCTCTCACTGGTTGCAGGCTCTCATAGTAAGGTTTGGCGAGAAATGTTCCAAATGTCACATTTTGAATTCTAGGCTGTCACCCCTCATTCTGTGAAACGTATTAGCATGTGTTCGCCCAAGATGACTATTCCTTGTGAGCCAGTTGATGATCTTCTACACCCTTCCCTTCTAAGCCGTAGTTCAGGAATCCAGCCCACATAGCCAGACTCTTCCTTTCTATGGTGTAGTCAATGCCAAGTGATGCATCTAGGCAGGAAAATCTACTCTCTGCTTTTTTGGGGGCAATTAGTACATTTGTGAAGTGCAGCATCCAAGAAACTGCCTGTTTTTCATCCCTTGAAAAAGGAGCGACCATTGCAGCTTTTCTGTCCTTGTCGGCCTGCAGTTCCTGGGGAAAAGAGTGTGTCTGAGCTACTTGTCCAAGCCTCTGTCTGCAGGTGATGGGCTTTGGGGGAAATGAGATGCATTAAGTAGAACATCATCTCGGGTCAGACACTGCCCCTTTTGTTTGCCAATGCCTCAGTCCTAGAGACTTGCCCTGACAGTGCCACATGCCTCCTTTTGATCTCTCAGAGCAGGCGGCTCCATCCCCAGGCTGGCCTGGCTACTCTCCGAGGCACCTCCACCTGCTCCCCTTTATTGCCCCGTTCTTGTGGCTCACTGGGCCACTTGGCCTCCCTTCTTGCCAGTGACAACGAGCGTTCCATCATCTCCCCGCTCCCCAGGGGCCAACTGCTTCTCACTCAGGCTGGTGTCATTTCAAGAGGACCAAAGCCTGCGTGAGCCTTTTTATTTTCAGTAAAATGGTGCTTTTTTCCTTACTTCGAGATACTATATATAAATAATAATGTAAATGACACCTTTTCGTACGGAGCTGTTTGAGTATTGCTTTACAGAGCTCACTAAATCAGCTTCAACAATCTTGAGCTCTGTGGCTTCCCCCCCTGTCCGCATGGAAGACTTTGCTGGAAGCTCTCGGACAGCAGACATACCACCAGAAGCCACTGGGAGAAGTGTTTGCGATCCGTGTCTGGGCCACAGTAGTTTTCAC